AGCGAGCGAGCGAGCGAGCGAGCGAGAGAGCGAGCAAGCGAGCGAGCGAGCGAGCGAGCGAGCGAGCGAGCGAGCGAGAGAGAGAGCGAGCGAGCGAGCGAGACGAGCGAGCGAGCGAGAGCGAGCGAGCGAGCGAGCGAGCGAGCGAGCGAGCGAGCGAGCGAGCGAGCGAGCGAGCGAGCGAGCGAGCGACGAGCGAGCGAGCGAGCAGCGAGCGAGCGAGAGCGAGCGAGCGAGCGAGCGAGCAGCAGCGAGCGAGCGAGCGAGCGAGCGAGCGAGCGAGCGAGCGAGCGAGCGAGCGAGCGAGCGAGCGAGCGACCGAGCGAGCGAGCGAGCGAGCGAGGAGCGAGCGAGCGAGCGAGCGAGCGAGCGAGCGAGCGAGCGAGAGCGAGCGAGCGAGCGAGCGAGCGAGCGAGCGAGCGAGCGAGCGAGCGAGCGAGCGAGCGAGCGAGCGAGCGAGCGAGCGAGCGAGCGAGCGAGCGAGAGAGCGAGAGCGAGCGAGCGAGCGAGCGAGCGAGCGAGCGAGCGAGAGCGAGCGAGAGAGCGAGCGAGCGAGCGAGCGAGCGAGCGAGCGAGCGAGCGAGCGAGCGAGCGAGAGAGCGAGCGAGCGAGCGCGAGCGAGCGAGCGAGCGAGCGAGCGAGCGAGCGAGCGAGCGATCGATCGAGCGAGCGAGCGATCTAGCTAGCGAGCGAGCTAGCTAGCGATCGAGCGAGCTATCATCTATCTAGATCTATCGATCTATCTATCATCTATCGATCATCTATCTATCTATCTATCTATCGATCTATCTATTATCTATCTATCTATCTATCTATCTATCTATCTATTTTTAATATGAATATAATCTACAATAACAAATTTTATGAATACAGCTATTACATTTTAGCTGTGCATTCATGAAGAAGTAAATAACTAAATTATTATGAGGGTTTTAACTGACTTTATTCAATTATGAACAAAATATTTAATGAATGACAATGAACTTTGCCAGTGATACGAAACAATTTTCTCTATACAAATTATACATACATATGTGGGCCAAATTATTTTTAGGCTCAATAAACAAAAGTTAATAATACTTATTAATTTCATATTAATTATCAACAAATGATATTTAACACTATTAAGGGTTCCACAAAGTGGTAAAACAAATTTAAACATTTAAGTTTCTTAAAAAAATCAATCAATTAATCAACCTTTTTTAAGCAACATTGAAAGCTAAATTAACGAATTAACAATTCTCTTCTATGAATGATTTGGTTATTGTTATTATTTTCATTATGATTACATGTAATGGCTAAAATTGTCATACATATTTGAGGATACTTTTATGGGTTTTTGTTCATATACCCGTTATTTATGAAACGACTTATCTGATTCTAAATATGAAACTTTTCGTAAGGATATTTGATAGAATTTGGATTACATAAAATCTGGAGTCTTCAGAGAATTTATTTCATCAAACATACTGACAGTCGGACATCGTTAAATCGACTTCGCTACCTATAAGGATTTGGAAATTACACACAGAATGGCAAATTTATATATTCCCTTCTCAGATTAATTGAAACAAATTAATCGGTTTATTTGCAAATTCACATATGTACATACATATGTGTAGCAATTCTCAATTACTTGAAGAATTAAACGAACCACAATTAATAGAGGGTTCTTTTCAAGTTAATTTAATTCTTATTTTTACTATTCCTCTTCTTCAAATACTGTAAAAACACATTCATACATACAAAAGTAAATAAAAAAATACTTACTCTTTGTTCTCTTTTGTTCTTTATTATAAGCTTTCATTCACTTTTTTCAATTTCATTTCCTTTTCTTCGAATAACAACAAAAGTAAATAAATATACACAATAAATATAACGCACGAGAAACACAACGGAAACCGAAACTGCGCTGTCGGCTTATTGCAAATCTTCATGCAATTTGTTTAACTTTAAACACGATTACAAATGCTTTTCAAATTATTTTTTCGCTTCATGATTATACATTTATTTAAAAGAAATATAAATTTTAAGCACTTTTTAACATATTTTATTTGCGAATAAACTTTTAGAATTTAGCAAACACGTCCACGCACCGATGAAATTGCTTAGAAAAAGGAAACAAATCAGGAATGGAAAAGTCAATGATATTAAATTGGTACTTAACTTACTTTTTAAATTTAAAAGAAATATAAATTTTAAGCACTTTTTAAATATTTCATTTGGGAATTAACTATAGAATTTAACAAACACGTCCACGCACCGATGACATTATAACTAAAACTGAAATTGCTTAGAAAGAGGAAACAAATCAGGAATGGAAAAGTCAATGCTATTGTAAATTTTAAGTACTAGACTATAGACTAGACTACTAGAACTATAGACTAGACTATAGACCTAGACTATAGACTAGACTATAGACTAGACACTATAGACTAGACTATAGACTAACTATAGACTAGACTATAGACTAAACTATAGCAACTATAGACTAGACTATAGACTAGACTATAGACTAGACCTATAGACTGAACTTATAGACTAGACTATAGACTAGACTATAGACTAGACTAATAGACTAAGACGTATAGACTGAACTATAGCTAGACTATACTAGACTATAGACGAAGCTATAGACTAGACTATAGACTACTGGAGTGACTAGACTATAGACGAGACTATAGACGAGACGATAGACTAGACCGATGACTATACTATAGACTAGACATATGACTAGACTATAGACTAGACTAGACTAGACCATAGACTAGACTAGAGACTAGACTATAGACTAGACTATAGACTAGACTATAGACTAGGACTAGAGACTAGGACTAATAGACTAGACTATAGACTAGACGATAGACTAGACTAGGACTAGACTAAGACTAGACTATAGACTAGACTATAGACTAGACTATAGACTAGAGCGGGGTATGGTGGGAGGGGAACGAGACTATAGACATAGACTAATGACTAGACTATAGACTAGACACTAGACTAGACTATAGACTAAGCTATAGACTAGACTATAGACTACACTATGACTAGACTATAGACTAGACTATAGACTAGACTATACTAAGACTAAGACTATAGACTACTATAGACTAGACTATAGACTAGACTATAGACTAGACTATAGACTAGACTATAGACTAGACTATAGACTACACTATAGACTAGACTAGACTAGACTATAGACTAGACTATAGACTACACTATAGACTAGACTATAGACTAGACTATAGACTAGACTATAGACTAGACTATAGACTAGACTATAGACTAGACTATAGACTAGACTATAGACTAGACTATACTCTAGACTATAGACTAGACTATACTCTAGACTATAGACTAGACTATAGACTAGACTATAGACTAGACTATAGACTAGACCATAGACTAGACTATAGACTAGACTATAGACTAGACTATAGACGAGACTATAGACTAGACTATAGACTAGACTATAGACTAGACTATAGACTAGACTATAGACTAGACTATAGACTAGACTATAGACTAGACTATAGACTAGACTATAGACTAGACTATAGACTAGACTATAGACTAGACTATAGACTAGACTATAGACTAGACTATAGACTAGACTACTAGACTAGACTATAGACTAGACTATAGACTAGACTAGACTATAGACTAGACTATAGACTAGACTATAGACTAGACTATAGACTAGACTATAGACTAGACTATAGACTAGACTATAGACTAGACTATAGACTAGACTATAGACTAGACTATAGACTAGACTATAGACTAGACTATACTAGACTATAGACTAGACTATAGACTAGACTATAGACTAGACTATAGACTAGACTATAGACTAGACTAGACTATAGACTAGACTATAGACTAGACTATAGACTAGACTATAGACTAGACTATAGACTAGACTATAGACTAGACTATAGACTAGACTATAGACTAGACTATAGACTAGACTATAGACTAGACTATAGACTAGACTATAGACTAGACTATAGACTAGACTATAGACTAGACTATAGACTAGACTATAGACTAGACTATAGACTAGACTATAGACTAGACTATAGACTAGACTATAGACTAGACTATAGACTAGACTATAGACTAGACTATAGACTAGACTATAGACTAGACTATAGACTAGACTATAGACTAGACTATAGACTAGACTATAGACTAGACTATAGACTAGACTATAGACTAGACTATAGACTAGACTATAGACTAGACTATAGACTAGACTATAGACTAGACTATAGACTTGACTATAGACTAGACTATAGACTAGACTATAGACTAGACTATAGACTTGACTATAGACTAAACTATAGACTAGACTATAGACTAGACTATAGACTAGACTATAGACTAGACTATAGACTAGACTAGACTATAGACTAGACTATAGACTGGGCTATAGACTAGACTAGACTAGACTAGACTAGACTAGACTAGACTAGACTAGACTAGACTAGACTAGACTAGACTAGACTAGACTAGACTAGACTAGACTAGACTAGACTAGACTAGACTAGACTAGACTAGACTAGACTAGACTAGACTAGACTAGACTAGACTAGACTAGACTATAGACTGGGCTATAGACTAGACTATAGACTGGACTATAGACTAGACTATAGACTAAACTATAGACTAGACTATAGACTAGACTATAGACTAAACTAGATTATAGACTAAACTGTAGACTAGATTATAGACTAGATTATAGAATAGACTATAGACTAAACGGTTTAAAATAAACCGTTTTACAGGTTGTCAGTACTGGATTTTTATACATCAGTAACGATCAATAATTAGCTAGTTTGGAGCCCTCTAGTGACAAAATGCTTTATAAAAAAGCTTTTTTACTTAACCAAAATAATATCACTTAAGTGAGTGCTTGAGAGAAAGAGAAAAGTCTCTAAAAAAGGTAAACACAATAAAAACAAAAAAGAGCTTTTTCACATTGGTAAATTGAAAAGTAATCTATCTGAAAAGTGTATCAGTGCGATGGTGAAGATTCTTTAGAGAAGAACATAAGAAAATAAACAAAACACATTCATTATTCCACTCATTATTATTTTAGAACAAAAGTGAAATCTGTGTTATTTCGAAACGGAACAAAGATAATAAATTCAATAATTGATATTTTACATATGTATATTATGTAGTTTATAGAAAAAATAACTAAATACAATGGATAATTTATATGAAAATTACTACGATGCAAACAAAAAGCAGGTGAGTTCTTTTTTTCATGAATACAAAATGACTTTTCTTAAAGTACCCTTCAACTGCTTAGAAAGTGTTATTAGTTAGTCTGATTGATTGGTAACAAACATTTAAAGTGAGAAAGTGTATGTGTGGTTTATATCATAAAAATTAAAAGCGATAAAATATTAACATAATGTTATTCTGTGTTTCAATTTCATTACACATTAAAAAAAGCTTTAAAAATATATCATGTAATAAAATAAATGACAGCTGTTCTGCCCCTTTGTTTACAATAAGTTGTCAGAGCTGATAAGCACATTTTCAACTGTCACTACTTCTTGTATTCAGCTTGTAAGCAAAATATAATTTTGAAATGTCAACTCAACACCTTTAAATATTTATATTTATAACTGTTTAGAATAGGAACTTAAACACAGCCCAACAAAAAAATCGAAATCAAGAGACCAATGTATTACAGAAGTTAAACCTTATTATTATTTTAAAGACGACAGGTTTAATTTTCAGATGACTGGACAAAGTTGATGAGTAAAGGTGTCTTCGTTATAACTTTATGATCAAATATCAGAGTCGGATTCTGCGTTGCTCAATCATTTAGAAAAGTGTACTACTTTGGTACATACATAGGTAATTTTAATTAAAATTTTAGTTCTATATACATAGTTGGAAAAATATTTATGTATATATTTTAAAAAACTGTTTTAAATAAAAGTTCTTATCGCACTTCCAGGTTCACACACTTTCGCAGACATTCGTAATCATAAATCAAAATCTTAAAATGTCTACAAATTCGGGAAAAATATATAATAAGAAATGCATTTAATTTAAGATACTGACAAAACTTATACATATATTCTTAAATTTTTTGAAATTAAGAAAATAATAAATTTCTTAAAAACCAAAATGAAGATGATGCAAACTTTTCCCATAATTGCCAGTAAGATATTTGCTTAATTGAAGATAAAATTGCAATTGTTGAAGGGTATTTAAGATTCGTTTTATGAATTCCAAAAAAAGCACTCTAACTTCATTTAATTTTTTTTTTTCTTCTTTCCACTTGCTTTTATCACATTCATACACAAACTACAGTTAAACCTATCGCATCGTAATTTGAGATGTCTTGACTCTGCCACTGTTGCGTCATATGCACATTGTACTGAATATTTAGATTTAAGTCATAATCGTATTAACAATCTAACATGGCTCTATGAATTTCCCCATTTAAAATGTCTAATCATGGATGACAATCGTTTGAGAGAGGCACATTTTGAAAAACTACAGAGGCCATTGACCAATTTACACACTTTAATGTTAAACAAAAATGAGGTGAATCTGAAGTTATAAAATTAATTGAATAAAAATTACATTGACACAATTAAAAAATCGTTACAGTTGAGTGATTTGCAATCGACAGCAAGCATTTTACAGCGTATTTTTCCCAATGTGGAGTACTTAAGTTTGCATGGCAATGCCATGTGTCCCGATAATTTATTACTGCAGCCATTCTGTGAATTTGTGCCGTATGAATATAATCATTATAGGTAAATAATTGAACATTTTAATAAAAAGTAAACAATATTTACAATTTCACTTTCTTTAAGAACCGTTCTACTGCATTCATTGCCAAATTTAAAATTTCTTGATCATTTTTCTTTGGATACTGCTGTGCATTTAAAAACTTCTGCACAAACTAATCAACTACAAGAGCAACATCGACACCAGTCTTTACAAAAACAAAAACAACACCAACAACAACTTTTGACATCAACTCCCAAAGATTTGTGGTCGAAATTAAAAAGTTTTCTAACAGCCAATTCAACTAGAACGACAACAGAATTCTCAACTATTAGAAACAACAATTGTGCAGTGCTTTGTGGTAAGGAGTTTTATAATATGTATAACTATTTATTGTTAAAAATATATAAACTTTTTCTTAGCTTCTTCCCCATCTGAACAAACCTATAGTGGTATACACTCGGAGGGTATCGTTATATAACAAATTCCGATTTATAAGGAAAATGCTGCATACTACAGAGATTTTATTTAACAAAGATTATAAAGACTTTAATAATACGAATACATACTTAATTTATTTTACGGTTTTATTAAAATAATATAATTTTGAGTAAACATTTTTAAAATGTCCGTTATTATGCCATGGACAATTTAGTGCACTAGTACTTTTTTATATCGAAAAAATACCGTGAAATCCCCGGGACATTTTTGGTACATTTCGAACTTACAAACTGTCTAATCTATAATCTAGTCTATAGTCTAGTCTATAGTCTAGTCTATAGTTAGTCTAGTCTATCTAGTCTATAGTCTAGTCTATAGTCTAGTCTATAGTCTAGTCTATAGTCTAGTCTATAGTCTAGTCTATAGTCTAGTCTATAGTCTAGTCTATAGTCTAGTCTATAGTCTAGTCTATAGTCTAGTCTATAGTCTAGTCTATAGTCTAGTCTATAGTCTAGTCTATAGTCTAGTCTATAGTCTAGTCTATAGTCTAGTCTATAGTCTAGTCTATAGTCTAGTCTATAGTCTAGTCTATAGTCTAGTCTATAGTCTAGTCTATAGTCTAGTCTATAGTCCTAGTCTATAGTCTAGTCTATAGTCTAGTCTATAGTCTAGTCTATAGTCTAGTCTATAGTCTAGTCTATAGTCTAGTCTATAGTCTAGTCTATAGTCTAGTCTATAGTCTAGTCATATAGTCTAGTCGATAGTCTAGTCTATAGTCTAGTCTATAGTCTAGTCTATAGTCTAGTCTATAGTCTAGTCTATAGTCTAGTCTATAGTCTAGTCTATAGTCTAGTCTGTAGTCTAGTCTATAGTCTAGTCTATAGTCTAGTCTATAGTCTAGTCTATAGTCTAGTCTATAGTCTAGTCTATAGTCTAGTCTATAGTCTAGTCTATAGTCTAGTCTATAGTCTAGTCTATAGTCTAGTCTATAGTCTAGTCTATAGTCTAGTCTATAGTCTAGTCTATAGTTTAGTCTATAGTCTAGTCTATAGTCTAGTCTATAGTCTAGTCTATAGTCTAGTCTATAGTCTAGTCTAGTCTATAGTCTAGTCTAGTCTATAGTCTAGTCTATAGTCTAGTCTATAGTCTAGTCTATAGTCTAGTCTATAGTCTAGTCTATAGTCTAGTCTATAGTCTAGTCTATAGTTTAGTCTATAGTCTAGTCTATAGTCTAGTCTATAGTATAGTCTATAGTCTAGTCTATAGTCTAGTCTAGTCTATAGTCTAGTCTATAGTCTAGTCTATAGTCTAGTCTATAGTCTAGTCTATAGTCTAGTCTATAGTCTAGTCTATAGTCTAGTCTATAGTCTAGTCTATAGTCTAGTCTATAGTCTAGTCTATAGTCTAGTCTATAGTCTAGTCTATAGTCTAGTCTATAGTCTAGTCTATAGTCTAGTCTAGTCTATAGTCTAGTCTATAGTCTAGTCTTAGTCTATAGTCTAGTCTATAGTCTAGTCTATAGTCTAGTCTATAGTCTAGTCTATAGTCTAGTCTACAGCCTAGTCTATAGTCTAGTCTATAGTCTAGTCTATAGTCTAGTCTATAGTCTAGTCTATAGTCTAGTCTATAGTCTAGTCTATAGTCTAGTATATAGTCTAGTCTATAGTCTAGTCTATAGTCTAGCAAAAAATTATATATGTTTTAAGTTGTACTAAAGAGTTAATTTTTCTATAATATAAAGAATAACAATTTCTAATTTTAAATATTATTTAAAATGTAACGGTTAATTTAGAAAAATACTTTCGTAAATAATATTATATGAGACACACACTAACTTTGCTTAGACACAAACCTATACTTATGAATATGTACATTACTAAAGCTTTCGCAAAGCTCTTTATCCCGAACACTGATAAACAAAGCAATAAAACAGAAAAAATAACAACAAATAACCGGCTGAAAAAATAAAGCAAAAACAAAACTGATAAAGGAAATTAAACAAGAAAATAAAAATTTGCACAAAAGAAAATATTAAAAATTAAAATATTATAAAAAAGGAATTAAGAATAAATAATATTGCTATAAAAAGCAGAACCACTAGGAAAATAATTTCAGTTTAGCAGCAACATTCTCTGGACTCTAGAGAAACCAACCGGCATAAAGTGTGAAAATAAGATTGCTTTTATAAAAAAGTGATAAATAAAATGGCAAATCCACAGCTGGAACCCAAATACACAAAGGTGAGTGAAAAATATGTTTAAACAAATTGAATTATTTTATATACATATGTATTCCCAAATAAAACTTGTTTGCTAAAGACGGACGAATCAATTACTTGCAAAAAAAAATCAGAAAAAT